AACCGCACCCGGGCATCGATCAGCCTCCCATTGTATCTGTACCAAATGGAAATTCCTCCGGTACAGCTATTGAAGGCTTCACGAACTACGTGGTCAAAATAGATGTTAAATGTGGGAGCCAGAGGACATCCCTGTCGCACCCCAAAGTGTACAGGGAAAGGCTCTGACTCCCGGCCACGTAGTTTTACCCGGGCCCGCTCACCATCATGAAGGTCCTTATGGATGGTGATCAGTGGGTGAGGGACTCGGAAAGCATGAAGAACAATCCAGAGCCCAGGCCTACTGATGGTATCATAAGCCTTGAGCAGGTCAATAAAGCACACACATGGACTAAGACGCACACATGGACTAAGACACACACCATGGGCCTACAGACACGCAAAGAAATAGACTTACACTGACTAACATTGAGGCATGCACACAGAGCAACTAACACACACGCACATGGACTCAGACACACACGCACATATGGACTCACACACACCAAAGACATCGACTTAAACACACACATATGGACTTATACACACATAGACATCCACTTGAGATATACACACACATGGAGTTACACACACATATGGACGTACACACATACAGCGACTCACACACATACATAGAATGAGACACACATTGCCGTACACAGACATACAGACTGTCACACATAGACATCCACTTGAGATATACACACATGGAGTTACACACACATATATCGACGTACACACATACAGCGACTCACACACAGACATACGTGGACTCACACACACATTTATGTAAACACCACATATGTACTTACTCACACACATAGACTAAGACACACACACACATAGACTAAGACACACACACATGGACTTAGACAGACACACACACATGGACTTAGACAGACACACTAGATAGACTGACACACACACCCAGCCCTACACACATACACATGTAACACACAGACATCTACTTGAGAAACACAGACAAAGCTTTTAAAAGAGTTTGAGAATTACTTCCCAACCACAAAAGACCCCCGACCTGGGAAGGAATGGATCCGCAACCCATTTGTGAATAAGCCAGGTGAATCGACTTTGTCTGTGCTAGAAGAGGATCAACTGCTTGAGATCGCAAATGAAGGTGGCATTAAAAGTATGTTTGAGACAACTTCAAATCTCGATACGTTCTGGATTAAAGTCAAGGCGGAATATCCTGAGATTGCCACAAAAGCACTGAAAAGCCTGCTTCGATTTCCAACATCCCATCTTTGTGAAACAGGGTTTTCTGCAGTGACAGCAACCAAAACGAGATTATGGAGTAGACTGGACATAGGCAACACACTTCGGGTGTCACGGTCTCCCATCACGGCCAGATGGGACCATCTAGTTACAGGAAAACAAGCTCAGAGCTACCACTGATTCTGCATTATGGCGAGTTGTATAATTATTTCACATTACAATGTAATATAATATAAAGTGCACAATAAAATAATGCGCTTGAATCATCATGAAACCATCCCCCCGCCCCCCCCTGGTCCGTGAAAAAACTTGTCTTCTTACTAATTGTGATAATACAAAGATTCTCGCTTTAACTTTAACTGATTATGTTTTAGTGTAATTCTATCAGGTCTCAGAATTCAGATCTCGCCAAAGGATACAGTTCTTTTAATTAAGATCATTATGCATGAACTTAGGAAGGAACCACTCAGACACTTCTGTGTTAAGCAACTTTAATTTCTAAACAAAAACATAACACTCTAATATGCGAACTCTTATGCTTGGAATTGTCAACACAGTACTCCTGGAGATGTGCTCATTGATCCGTACATTTAACCCTCAATGATTACGTTGTTAAACTGTAACAGAGCAATCGGTTAATTTCTCAGAGTAACGCGAGCATATACAACGATAGGAAAAAGTCCTTAAAAATAAATGTGACGATATTCATACGAACGGCAATAAAGAAACATGTCCCGAAGGCAAAAGTAGACCTCAATAAATTCATTGGTAGATTATGTAATAAGCTAAATGTCAGTTTCATCTAACTAAATGTCTTGGAACAATGGTGTCCAGCAGTGTGCCTGCTTCAGCAAATGCTTATCAATTGGCTAAGGCTTCAATACATTCGCGGGCAAGATTCTGTGATCAAAAGAAAGATTTCAACACAAGTCTCCCTGTGTGTGGATTCGTAACGTAGGTTTATAAGCGTTTAGTTTCGTCAATGAATTCATCAGTACAGTTAAAATTAACAAAAAGAACGACTAAAATACTTCTCAACGACCGTATCCACGTGACTCAATGGGCAGCAATGTTCTTCATTACCAACTAATAGTTGACGCACTCTTATCTTCTTATTATTATCAGTCCCGGTATGTGCGGTGTGTTTGGTGGTTTTGTCTCCTTGATCAATTCTTTGCGTCAAGCAGACGCTGGGTGATACGTGGCGAGTATGTGAGTGTGGGGGAGGGTCATACACACAGCTTCCTCGCTCTCTCTCGCTCGGCGGCAGCTGGAGTTGCTGCCCACTGCTTGATGAAGAGTCGGCACGACGCTCGCCGTCGGCGGTGCGCGATGATTCCGTCGTCAGATAGCGCCCGCAGCTCGTCTGCTGGTCGCCGTTCCTCACTCTTGTCTTGGTTCACAGCTGGTGCTGGTCGGTGCGTGTGGGTCGAACACACGGCGCTCTCCTCTTCCTCACGGGCGGCTGGTCAGGCTCTTTCCCTGCTGGATGAGCTGAATAGTCACGATGCTTGTCTTTGAAGGTGCTCGACAGCGCTCACCGCTCGTCCGCTGGCAGCTGACACCCGTGCTCGGTGGCGCTGCTGCGCTCTCTCTCCGGCTCCGTGCTCTCTGGCGATGCCTGGTTGCGCGTGCAGCTGGTTCTCTAAGATGCTGGCTTGGTCGATGCTTGGGCTTCCACCCTTTCTCCCAGTTGATTGCTCGTCGTTGCACGTCATTATCTCTCGGGCTGCAGCTGCTCGTGGGAGCTGGCACTCAGTGTAGAATAACTTTGAGCGATACTTCTTCCGTCAGCGCCGAGCTCGTACTCGGTGACCAATTTCTACTCGGCAAACCTCTTCATCCTTGGTTGATTGCAGAGTCCCACCCCAGAGCTTGCCGCTTGCAGTAAGTTAACTCTTTGTGTTGATTTCGTAGACTCGTGGTTTCTGCTGGTGCAGCTCGTTGACGATGTGCCAGTCACGGGGGCAGGTTCCCCGGAGCCTGCCGATCGCAGCTGCTCGTGGGAGCTGG